GAGCCCTGAAAGCCAGAAACTTCAGTGTGTGATAGGAACTTGGACCAGTCAGTCATGTTTCTGGTTCGGATGCAAGAGGCAGGGTTGTCCTGAACGTAATACACAATGAGCAACTGCTGAATTCTTCCTTAGTGTTCTTTAAATAGGGTATCATGTTTATCTTCAGAAAAAGAGAGGTGTTTTGAGATTATATTAAATTAAGAAAACAAACTTAGGAAATGCACAAGAACTTTTTATTAAAGTATTTAAAAAGATTTTCTGTGGGTGTAGCAGAAAGGTTCACAATTGAGGCTCACTGCATAGATTTCATATGGATTATAAGCTGATCACTTACACTGAAAACCAAACCCAGACTGGCGTGTGCATGCATCTTCTGGGCTGTATCTGGCTCACTTCTGTTGAGTGAAGTATGCGAACAGAGCAAGTGCTTGTTTGTGCCTGTCAGCGTACACATGCTTGCGCTCTGTGTGTGCACATGCACACGTGGCCCTTTGGTTCCAGGATCTTTCACTTGAGATCACGTAGAAGCTGGCACTAGAGGAAACTCCAGCAGAGTATTGCAGGATGTATCTCATTACTTTAAGCAGCACAGATAAAGGCGTAACAGACTTAATTTAAAAGACAAAGAAAAGGTCATCTTAAGGATTGAACTGAAGTTATTCTTTTCATTATGGCTCCCACTGTTGTATCTGTAAATTCTTGTTAAAGGTTGTTATTCTAATATTTTGTTGACCTTTGGTTGTTTTAGTTTTACTATGATAACATCTGCATCATAGTAAATGGATTGAATGAAAACATTTCAGAAGAATAGTAGAATCATGCAGTTGCATATCTGTTGCTGATTCACGCTTAAAATGGGAAAATTCCATTCCTGTTTTAGCCTTTCTACCTACAATCTGCAAAGAATGCATTTTCTTACTTTGATTGCAATTTTGACATTTAATGAAATGCTTGCTGTAATGAGGCTTCTGTTTTGTTCACTATGAGAACATTTCGAGTATTTACATAATTAGAATATTAAGAGACTGCATATCATAACATAGAAAACAATTTAATTTTTGCTCTCATTAGAAAAAAACAAAACCAAGCCTAACTGCAAACTCCCACACAGATCTTCTGTACTTTATGAACAGTCTAGGTATAGAAACATGTGGAATGAAGAAGCTTTTTATAGTTAAGAAGGAAGAGAGAGGAGCCTTTTGTAATTCTTGTTCAGGAAATGTTCTTTCTACCTCATTAATTTTATGAGTGTTTTATTAGTGAGGCAAATACAAAAATGGTTATGAGGAAAAAAATATAAATTCTAGCAAGGATGATGCCAGTAGCTGCTCTGAACAAACCAACTGAGAGAAGATAAAGCTCTTGCCCTGTTTTAAGAAAGCTGCTTGTTCTAGCTGTACTGAATGCGGGAATTATAAAAACAAAATAGGATTCTTGTTACGCTCATTTGCATGTTAAATATTTTGGATGTTTTTCCAGCTCCCAGTTATTTCAAAGCAGTCCGAGTGTCTGAGCTCTGGGAACAAACCAAATGACTTACAATGCTCTTTGGTGTGCAGATGACCCCTTCCCTAAAAATCTGCTAGTCCAAAGTGGAGCAAGTTGATGATTGTACTCTTTGAAATCATAATAGGCTGCTGGGAGAAGCTCTTTCCTTCATATCAGCATCTGAAGTACATGGCTAAAGAGAGTAGTTTAGAGGGTACAGATAGGCAAACAGCAATCATTTGCTCAGTGATAAAAATCATTAACAGTACTGTTTTCTTTGTAGCCATATTTGAAATAGCTTGAATACATAAAGCAAATAAGAAGTAGCCCAGAAGTGAAGTGCCTTAGACTAAGTTCAGTTGCTCTTTAAATCAGGCATTAGCCTACACTGTTTAACACATACAGAATGCCTGTATGAGGTTGAATTTGAGATCAGAATGTTGGTATTTTAATAGTTTAGTGCTCTATCCACTGCAAAAAAAAAATCTGAACCAAACCACACAAAAACCCCCACAACAGATGTGTAGGAGAACTCAGGGATTTTTGTCAAGTGGTATCTGTGTCAAAGTAAATGAGGCAGCTCACCGTGAGGAGAGTATCCCTAATGATCTATTAACATTAATGGGCTCCAGATCGTTGCTTGGAGAAAAGATCATGAACCTTATGGACAGTTGGACAGTGTCACCTTTAATACTCAGCAACAATCGAAAGGCAAATGGATAGGATAGGAACAGAATCAATTAGTGTTATGTTTTTGTAAATCAGTGTGTCCCAGACTTTTTTAGCACATTTTATGCAATAGTTAGTTTCCCTTCTCAGGAAGGAATTAGTAGAGCTAGGAAGGATGAGGGGAAACCAGATCTGCAATGGAATGGCTTCTGTACCAAGAAAAATTAAGCAGCACTGACTTGATAAAGCTGCGACAAAGTTGTGTAAATTTGGGAATGGAGATTATCAATAGGAGGCAATTGTTCACTGCCTCTCTGAAGATGGGAGCTGAAGGATATTAAGTGAGACTGTCAGGCGGCAGGTTTAAAATAAAAGGAAGTGTTTTTTTCGTGCCACGTACAGCAAGGTGTGGATCTCACTGCCACAGGATGGTAGTAGAGGTCAAAAATATAAATGTGCTCGGAAGGGGTAGGGCGAATTCAGAGGGGAGTTTGTCAGCAGCTGGGGACCCAGAAACTGGGGTAAACATGGCGGCCAGCCTTGCTGCTTGTGCTCTGTCTGCAGCAGGCCGCTGTTGGAGAGGGCATTGTGGGCTTTGGAGGCTGTGGGTCTGAGCCGGTATATTTAGCCTAATAGTCTTCACTGGCTTTCCTCCTTGCACCAATTGCAAGTTATACCCAGCCTTTAGCTTCTTTTTCTTTCTGTCACACACACACACTTTTTTCTTACTCCTCCAAGAAAGTAACTCGTTGTTTCTCCAAAGTTGGTGGATACATTGGTCCTCTTTTAAAAGTCTTGATTTTATTTTTCCCTGGAAAGTTGCCCTCGAGTCTTGTTACTCTTCCTGGGAATGCTAGTGCATGGTTTGCTTAAATGCACCAGCCTCACGTAGGCATGCATATATACCTGTTGAGCTTTCCTGACTACCTGTGGTCTAACTGACACGCCCTGGAAGCTGCAGGGACGACCTGCTTGATTTATTTTTTCCCCTTGTGTGAACTTGGCACAAAGAAGATCTGATGACGTGCAGGTCGTGTGTAGTCAGGGACAAGGAACAGGGGTGGGGATTGTGGGACAGGGAAGCCCTCAAGGACCTTGTCTGTAAATGTGGCAAGGGAATGATAGTGTGTCTGGCAGGAAACCTTTCTTCTCCGCCCTTACTCGTGCATAAATTTACTTGTATTCCTTAGCTCTGGAGGGGACAGTACAGAGAGCTACTTGTCCTTTCTCCCACTACCTCTTTTCCAGGAGCAAGAAACAGATGCCTGGTAGGTCCATTCAGGCACCCCTCTGTTCCTGCTAGTGAACCCCAACATTAGGGGAATGAAGAAATATCAGTAGGTGCCTCAAATGGGCTCCCTCAAGCTCTTGAAATTCCTAAATAATAGAAAGTTGTTCACATTTTAATATTTTAGTATGTAGTAAAGAAATAATTTTATTTTTGTGTGTGCGTGATCACTGGGTGCGGTCTGATTTTGCCTTTGTTCTGCTAGCTAGTTTGATGGATAGGTCAGGCACAACCTTTTACAAAAGCTTTTTTTAGGTTATCCTACCTTTTCAGGTAGGTTGAGGTGAAGAATTTTCATACACCTAGACTGCTTCCACCCACATGGGTGTGGTGGGATTTAATTTCTGAGCCTGTGTAAGTGCCATGGGAGTTCAAAGCAAGTACTTCTGTTCCTATTTCCACATCTAAATCGCTTGTACCTGGTATACATAGAACTGCAAGCAGGAGGGCTATATTCTGGTTTGCTCATCTGGTTCTTCCCAGGATAGTGCTGGGAAGCAAAAGCTGGATGAAGTTCAGTAGTGCATAGCTGGCCTGTAAACCGAACAGGAGCAGTCTGCATTGGGTAATAATATGTTTGTTTAAACAATGCTAATAATCAGCGTCCATTCTTGGGATGTGCAAACTGGAATGTACAATGAGTTGCAAGTACAAGGGAGCCTTGATAATTGAGGAACAATTTGCTTAATTATGTTGTTCTTAGTCAATGTATCATTAAAACAATGAAAAAGTTAAATGATTGTTGAATTTTTGACAATGTCAATATTTTCCAGTGTCCCAGATAATTTAATAGTCAGGATATACATATTTAAAAGGAGGAAAAAAGTGACTCTGGAATATGCATGAATAGAACACCTCCTCTCTCCCCCCCCAAAAAAAACCCCAAACAACAACAACAAACCACAGCTACTTCATTTACTGCACTAAAATAAAAAGTTGGGGTGTGTAATGAGGGGGCTTATTAGTGGAACATGGTACCTATTGTACCTCTACATTATTTCTGTAGTCGTAAGGGATCTTCCACTGCAAAAGCAGTGTTTTTCCTGTTGCTTTTCAGATATTGACAGAGGCCAGTTCTTGACTGGTGACTAATCTCAAAAGTTGAAATGACCTTGGTCAAAAAGGGGTGAATACATGCAAGTGCTGACTCAGGTTACTATATTCAAGTAATAACCTATGGGCCTTTGTCTGCTCTTGATTAAAACAGCAGATTTGTGTTCTTAGCTGTCTTACTGCAGCCGTCAGCATCTTTGTTCTTTCTGTGACCAGAAAACAGGTTAAATAAATTGTTAAATAAGGCATAACCTCTGTTTCCAAAACATTCTTAAGAAATTGATTACAGTTTGAAAAAATATAAAGAGATTATAAAGATTTATATATAAATATAAATGCTCTGAAACAAATGTTAATATCCAGATGTTCTTAATGCCCACTGATTTTACAGTTTTCAATTAAAACCCCTGACTTTTCTCATCCTCTGTTAATAAATTTTTTTGGTACTGTTATAAGACTATTTCTTCATTGTAAAAAGAATGCTTCGCTTCTATGTTTACAGATGCTGTGAAGCCACCAGTCAGTTCTTTACAACCATCTGCTGAGTTACCCCTGCCCATCAACACTTCAGCGCCTACCATGCAAGCAGAATCTTCCCTACCTCCTCCTTATCAGCTTATTAACATCCCCCCACTGGAGTCTTCCTCTGGTCAAGAGGATCCTCAAGACTACCTACTGCTAATAAACTGTCAAAGTAAAAAACCTGAACCTATGAGGTAAGTGACATTCTTTTCTAAAGAACACTTACTTGTATTATAGAGCAAGAATGCCTGTGCTATGAGCACTGTTTTTTATTGCCAAGTCATTGAACATTTGAATGCATGTGATCTGTGCAGGGAAGCTGCCTGTAACTTTTGCTTCTTTGCTCGAACTTTGTGGAGCAATAGTAAGTTGTTTGATCAGTACTAGACCTACATAGTATTCTTCAAAAATGTGGAAGCAATTGCCGATATGAAGTATCAGATAAATGCAGTGATCCAAGCATTTCATTGTAGCTTGCAGTGATGCATGGCACAGAGCAGAGAACTTACCTTTCTTCTGCCACAATCTGGTGTGTTTAGTGCAGTCTAGGACTAGAAAAAGCTGGAGAAATTTAGCCTGCCTTTCTTCTGGTATTTGGTGCCCCAGTTTTGCCAATTAAAACTTTAATGGAAGGGATTCAGTAAAACATGCTGATATTTATTGTCACCTGCTAGTTTACCACATCAGTGAATATAGCAATCCTCAAATGGTATTTGTTGACTATTCCTAATATGGTTCAGACTCTCAAGCAAGAATAAAAGATAATTATTTTATGATAACTAAGAATGCAGGAGACTTAAACCACGCAATTTCTGCATGCTGAATTTTAACTTTTTCCAAATAACAGATATTTAAAAACAAGCACAAATAAGCCTTATTTCTTACTGAGTAAAGAGTACCCACACAGTCAGTTCTCCAGAGAAGTGTGTAATAGGAAATTTTAAGGAAAGAATTGAGATCCTTTACTAAATTTAATGTATGTTTATTTCTCCAACTGCTCCTTCGAACCTAAATAGATGTACAGCACCTCCTGTGTAGGAGGAAATGATATTTATGGTAGCTACCTGGGAAATACCACTGTTTTTTCCAAATGGATAATGGTGGCTGTCCCTGGAGCAGGCTGACCAGGGACTTAGTGGAGGCCCCATCCACTGAGATTAAAAAAAAAAAAAACAACACCCTGACCACAAACGAACTTAACTGGAAAAACTCCTAAGGAGCCTCACCTAGCTTTGAAGTTGGCTTTGCTTAGAGGTATTGGAAGAGCTGGGCCAGAGAATCTCCAGAGGTCCCTTCCAACCTGGAGTATTCTGTGGGAGAACCTTATAAATATCCCTCGCAAGCTGCTTTTCTGCAGCAATTTAAAGTAAAATCTGCTGGGTTATTTCCAGAAAAAAAAACCAGAAGGTCATATTCTTTTTGTGATTGCAGACAAGTACATGGAAGGCTGAGGAGAGCTTCCTTTGAAAGTGTTTTCATGAGTATTTGACATACTCCCTTAGGGCCATACCTTTTAGTGGTGGTGCCTTCTTCATCAACACCTTGATGCTCTGCCAGTTTTACCTGTGCCATGTGCTCTCCGCTCCCTTGGCATTTTTATCTTGCTCTGTTGTGCCTGAGGAGTTTCCTGCTCCATTTACTGGTGATTAGATGGTAGGAAAGCATCCACCCATTACAATCTTTCTTATAAAATGGAGGAATGAGCCTACAGTTCCCCCAGAGTATGGAAAGTGCAGGTTACAGGCGGCATGGTGTGCCCTAAAGCCTGCTGCAAGAGAAGGGGAAACCCAGTGTCTGTTTTCTCAGTGTTAAAGGTTTCAGTGTATAGTGATTAGAAGCTGTTGGTGCTCGAGAAGTATGTCACCATTGCTGCCAAAAGCTGTCGAAAAGTTTGATATTGCTTCCAGGAACAGCTTAGTAGAGAAGTCTTGACTTTTCATTTCAGCACCCTGGCTCGTCAGAAATGTGCCTGAGTGCCCATTTACTTCTGTGAGGGATAGGCATAGAGTGGATTTCCAACACTACCACAAGAAGTGTGTTTTTAGGAATGATCAAGGCTGGGATGTGTAATTGACTTTCTGACCTGACTTCCACAGTTGTGTGACACATGGGTTAAGTAGAGGGAGTAAAGTCTGAGGAAACCATAAAAGGGGGAGCAAAATGCAGCAAGGTATAAAGCCTGCAAAATTTCTTGAACAAGACACTGCTGACACAGCAGAGAAGATATTTTGGTTTTGGAGAAGGCAAAAGGTCCAATTTAGATAAAATACCAAGGGAACTGAGAAAGAACTGAACGAAGTCTTTGGGAGTATAGAGGTTGTTTAAATAAATGATGTTTTCACAGAAATATTTGAAGACAGAGAAACACTGGCTTTGTGATTACTTGGAAATTATATGGGCTTTAGTGAATTTAGTTAAATATAATACACTAATAGGTCCTTTTATTAAGAAGGCTATAATAATGAAATTTCAGAATAGTTATGCTGGAGTTTTAGTTCCACCTAAAAGGACTGCTTATGTTTCATGTCTGGTACAATAGGTATTCTGCTGGATTTGGGCCGGAGTATAGAGGATATAGACCTTTTCCTGTAGAATTAAAGCTTTGTGTATCTGTGTAGCATGTTACTAAGACAATCAGTTGGAGGGCACTCTATGCGCTACCCCGATCCGCATCTGTACAGGTGAAGAAAAAATTGAATGGCTGCATTATTTTCCAGACTTGGAACAATTTATCTGTGTATTTCATACAACATTTTACATTACTGTAAAGTGCAAGGTTTAATACATGTGATTAAATAGGCAGGTGTTGTTACTTCAGTGGTTTATTTCTGTGAGGTTTTCCCTGCCAATATGCAGGCGGAACATTTTCTGTTCTAATTTTGCACCTTACTTTATAGATAATCTGGGAACTGCTGAATATTATTTCAAGAATTTGGGGTTCTTTCTGGGTGAGTCGGGTAACTATGAAACATAGAGGAAGTATCCTAGCTGCCTCTTTGAAATTTTTAAGAATTGTGGTGTTTCAGAACTAAAATAATTTTGAAATGTTGCAATACAGTGTCATGCAATGTACCATGTACTGTTGTGAGAATATCTTGGACGCAGCAGTTGCAGCTGTAATAATCATGCTGTATTTTGTCTGGAATAGTTTTATGCTCTGATCACTGTGGACTTGAGAAAGAACATTGTTTGACTGTAGCATTTAGTGAGATTTTAAGGTTTGTATTTGGATCCTAAATAAGAACATGCAGCCAAAGACTGTTTCTAAAACCCTTATTGTTCTGGCTCATTCGAGAGGTATATTGAAATACTAAACACTGTCTTCCTCATCTGTCCTATGTTTATGAACCAGCCAAGGGTCACCCTTTCTCTCGGAAGAAGGGCAGGAATACCTCCTGTTAGAAGATTTTGAAAGTAAAAAGATTCCACTGCAGTGAGTGAACAGTAGGCATTCTTGGAACGTGTGTGAGAAATTAACTTGCCTGAAACTATTGTTTGTTGGAGATGCATCTTGCATGGTGTTCTGTGAGTTGTAACAGAAAAACTATGTAACTTTGACTTCCATTTTATGGAGATAGAGCTGGTTTATTATTTATTTATTTCTCTATCCACGTTTTTACAATGCTTGCTATTACTGTCCCAGATTGCTGGCACACAAGAGAAGTTTTGCTGCCACTTTGTTCATAGTATTGTATTTAATCAATCATATCGATTTCTGCAGATGGGAAAAGAATGAGCTCGAGAGGATGAGTGGTCAAGCCAGACTGAATACAGCCTATTAAAAAATGGGATGACTAACTCTCAGGCTAAAACACTGTTAAAACTTTTTTCCTGGGTCTCTGTCAACAAGTAGTTTTCAGTACGGGGAATCAGGCTTTTCACTGGGCTCCCCCTGCCTCAGTACCCCACCTCTTCTCTGTGCACCTTCATCTCCAGTCCTTGTAGATCAGCAGGCTGTACAGTTACATTATCTTGGTATGTGGAGAGAGGTGTCCAGTCCTAGGACTGAGTAAGGAATAGTTCAGCCACTTAGCATAATTTGCAGATATGTGATGCCCACATGTGATAACATGAAACTCATGTAACAGTCATCCTCTGCTTGTAAATAGAGTAAGGAGTTTTCATTGTGTTATAGCCAACATTGCCATTATTTTAAACTGAGGTGTAAAAAAACCATTAATACTTCTGTTAATAACTGATTGTTAATGGAATATTTAAGCCAATTGATTTTTTTCTATTGAGCTGTTATGAAGTACGTGGGAAAAATTGAAATTTTCAGGTAACTTTCTAAAGTGCGTAAGTCCATCAAGCATCCTGCATCTGAAATCCTTTTCAAAAAAAGAAAAAAGCAGGAGTAAAGTTTGTCCCTGAACTCTAGTCCTAACCTAAATTTCCTGGAGGTAACATGAGTCAAATACTTTGTAGATTTTCAAAATTGCACATGTTCTTATGATCAGTGGCCAATACTGACTTTTGAAAACTAGTTAAACTTCAGAGGCTGAACTCCCTATCTTCATTTTGGCTTAAACTACTTTCTCAGCCAGTGTTTCAACTGTCTTCAAACTTTAGGCCTTGCAAAATCAGACTGGTTAAAACCCATTCATATTTTGAAAACTGTTTCAAAAGACTAACAAGTTGATTCCAAAAGATTACTTTTAAGAACATGGAGTAAATCAGAAATGCTCTGTTATAATGAGAAATGAATGTTCTTGCCATCAGTGAAGCAAATGGCGGGCCTGGCTGTCTTGTGTCATGGTTTTTGAAAGTCTCCTGTTTTCACAAGTGCTTGTGGTCAAGAAAGAAGCAGCAGCATTTACTCAAACCCAGAAAAACTAAACTTAAAAAGGATAGCATTTGTTGCTTACATATGATGGGTAATCCTTAACAACTGGCATTGTATGTGTGCTCTTGTTGCATTTTGAGCTTTGGTGATATACTCCTGCATGTTTTGGTAAGATAAATGTAGTATTTGTATTTTATTTCTGTATTATTTTGGGAATTTTTTCATTTTAAAGTATATCCTAGTGAACTGGAACTAATAATTTTGATTCTACAACTGATTGTCAGTGTCCACCTTCTCTAGACTGACCACTTTATTTTCGTAGCATATAAAATACACATCACAATCCTTGCCATACTTGCTCATGTCAAACACACGTGACTTTTGCTGGGACTTTGGTCTGAAAGAATACCACAGAACTGGAAGAGTACATCTAGAAAGTGAGGAACTCCTGAATGAATCCTTCGAGTAAAGAGCAAGGGCTGCAGCAGGGGCTGAGCTCGGAGTGTTACTAGTCACACAGTACGCTCACAATTTATTATGCACTCAGTAACCTCATGTAGTTCCTTCAGTCCTATGTGCTCTATTTTTTGCAAGTATGTTAAAATTCCTTTGCCTCAGAGCTTCAGAAATTCACTAATGAACCCCTGGAAGTAAACTGTTAGCAAACGAGAGACATTTTTGATGATCAGCATTGTAAGGAATATAGGAAGTTTCACTTCCTTGGTTATGCCAAGGATAAATATTTAAAGAGAATATTCTCTTCTTTTTTTGAGGGTCTGTTAAACCAAATCCAGATTAATGTTCAGAGTCACCTAGAAACCAGTTCTGACCAGTGAGACAGAACTTAAATCTATGTTTAAAATAGTAACCAGAGCAAAATTAGTGTACTACTTCTAATGAAAAAAAGCTGCACCAAAAAAACTAATAAGCTAATAGAAAAAGGTGATACAACTAAAGCTAGAGAAGAATAAGTCACTCATACTGGTGGAAGATTGTATCTCTGCTATTAAACAGAACAAAACCCAGTTGGTTAGGTGAATGACATTTTTCTTGACTGCAGATGTCCTGTCTAAGCTAATCGCTTTGGTTCCCTTGATAGCTGGCAGAGAGGCACTTTGGGAGTGATTCATTGGGTTTAGATGGATATCGAAGAAGAATGGATTGTGTTTCACACAGTCTCCATTTCTCCAGTGACTACAGAGGAAACCCAAATGAATAGCTAAACTGGATTCTTTTCTGCTCAGGTTACCAGAACCCCGGGAGATAAATCTAGCTGTCCCTTAAGAAAGAAAGTTTTGTGCAATCTTATTGACAAATTGAAATTTGAACAGTAAGTTCTGGTTGTGATCACTTTGAGGTAGAGAGCCTTTTAAGGGGAAAAAATGCTTCTTGTGGTAGTTATGGTGTGGATTTTTATGTATTTTATTCCTCAGAAATTTTGTAAACGCCATGGTCCAGTTTCTTCATAGAGCTTGGTAAGAGTAGTATAGCAGCCATTCATTGATACACACATACTGAAATATTTATAGAAGTATGTATAAATAATGTAATGGTACGGTACTGTGGTAATGAAAATAGGAAGTGTCATGGTATGATTGATCAAAAAGTGTATGGACTGCATTAACTCAACCTGTGTTAGGATTTTGCCACTGTCGTGACTTTCATTTAAGCAAGAGGTCAGACTGGTAACAGAATTTCTCTGCCTGGAGCAAGATAACTGGGGAGATTTACAAAAAAATCTTAAAGAATTACTACAGTGTGTTTACGTTCCACGTAAGTTTACTGGTACTGGTTAGTACCAGGATTAATAAGTGCTATTCTCATAAAAGATGGAATTTCCAAAGAAATCAAAGATGAACTATGGTGCAGTTTTATCTAACAACACTGCCTAAATTTGCATTCAAGACAAAAGTACTCTTTTGCACATACATCTTATGATATTTTTATTTTTCCCCAAAGAGCATGCTGTCTTCTGCCTATTTCTGTTCTTGACTGTTATTTCTTTCCCCATTATGTGTTTTGAACCTGTTCTGTATAGTAAGTAGATATCTTAAGGCATGCACTTAAGGGTGTTACAAGCAGTTGTATTTTTTCCTCTAATGTTTTTTTCATACTGATTAGAACTAGCAAGTACTCTAAACACAAGGATTGAGTGTGTTATTTTTACCTTTAACAGTGCCATTAAAATGCTGCTAGCTTGCAGCATGGGTTAAAAAAATAATAGTAAAACAATCCCCCAGCTTCCAAACAAACTGCTCCAAATTGGCGTCATGGAAATCACTTGCTTTGTGAAATATCACCTCGTCGTTAGCTGCTGCTAAAGCTCCACACTTGTGTTACCTGTTTCACATGCATGGAATTTGTATGTACATAGTTACTTAGGTTCCTTCTTAAGTACTACTATTTGTTTAATAATTGAGTTTCTGCATTTCATTAAAAAAAGAAAAAAATTTGGAAGAGGCTGATAGACTTTTTTAGTTGTTTGCATTTAAAATGTTGTGTTTATTGTTTGTGAAGTTTGTTTTTCTTTATATGTTCATCCACATTTCAATCTTACAATCTTATGTGTAGATCTCATGCTGACTCGGCAAAATCCAGCTCTTCTGAAACAGACTGCAATGATAACGTGCCCACCCACAAAAATCCTGCTCCATCAGTGAGCAAGCATGCTGTGAATGGCTTTTTTCAGCAGCAAGGTGTCTATGACTCTCCGCCTTCTCGTGCTGGACTGACACTGGCAGATTGTAGCCTTTATAACCTGCCTCGGAGTTACTCCCAGGATGTTTTACCGAAGGCAGCATCTCCATCTGGGACTGATGCAGAAGGAGAGCAACATGTTTTCAATACCCCATCAGCAACATCTTCATTAGACGCACAGATGAGACACATCTCCATTAGCTATGACATTCCCCCCACACCTGGAGGTACTTACCAGATTCCACGAACTTTTCCAGAGGGAACATTGTCTCAGACTTCAAAACTGGAGACTATTCCAGATATTCCTCCACCTCGGCCACCAAAACCTCACCACGCTGCAGATCGATCTCCTGTGGAAACATGTAGCATTAGTCGCACTGCCAGTAATACCATTTCAACGGTAGATTTGAATATCTTTCGTAAAGGTCAGTAATTCCGTATTTTGTCCTGCTTTTCAAGAATTTTTGTGTTAAATGATGTAATCTTGTGATGAATGGTGTGGTATGAATGATACAAACTGGCTGAATGATATAAGGGGCAATTCTAGTCTTCTTAAAATACACATGTGTTTATAAAACAAGCCCTTCACAAAATGGTCTGTGGTCGCAATGCTTAAAATATGTAAGAAAGAGGAAAAAGAGAAGACTATTAAAGGAAACCATCAAAACAGCAAAGTACAGAACATCAGTACGGGATGTATATTCCACTGTGGCATTCAGTCAGGTAAAAAAATTTGAAGACCGAAACATATTTATGGTGTTAGTTGTCTTCAGAAAACAGCAGTGAAGAACTAATCATCCTTTATTTTGCTAATAAGCTTGTATAGCTGAGTTCAATATTACCGTTACCAGTCTTTCAGAATGAGCATAGTAAGGTTAGCATGTAGTGGTCCAAATGTGCAGAAACTGAAAGTGTTTCATGAAGGTCAGTGGGACTTGGTGTATACCCAGAGCTTTGAGATCAACCCTGATCTGGTGATTGTTGCCACCGACCTTTATTTCTTTCCTTGTGATAGATATGCTTTCTGCAGTTTCTAAGTAAAATTAAAGCTGCTCCTTATAGTCACCTAAATGTTGGTATTCCAGTTGTGCTAGTGCTGTTTTTCACCGTTTTTCCTTTAGCAGATGGGAGTATTTAATTTCCTAGCCGGTGGAGCTACTTTTACTTAAAGAATTCGGTGTCTCTTGAGATTTTTACTGCGTGGTTTTTTTTTTTTTTTCTTCCCTGTTCTTATTCTCTCAGTTTTAAACTCAAGAAATGCAGCAAGCAGTAGAGATTGGGAAGCTGATATTTATTGTTACAGCAGTTGTTCTAGTCGTGTTAACCACTCTTGTGCTAAGTTTTGTTTTTTCAAGTTCCTGAGGCAGGTGGGCATTAGAGTGTTATTTTTTAAAGTGAAATTTTAAACCAGTTAGAGGCGCTGCTAATGTTAGAGGGGACTTTAAAGGGGAATTATTTGAGTTGTGCTAGGTACGGGATGGGAGACTGAAATGAGGAAGGGGACAGGGCTTTTAGAGGAGGCAATATGCAGAGTGGATGTAATCATATAGGCACTCAGATAGTATTATCCTGTTTGTCAATTCATTTTGTAGGCTAAGTGTAATAATATTTGTGGTTGCTAGTGTTTTAAAATGACAAAGTATCACCCTGAGAAGACTCTTGTTTTTTTTTGCTTATCTTCTTTCATTTTGCTAAAAAGCTGAGGTTGTCAGCCTCAGGAAAAGTAGCCTTTCTGAAAACACGGTTTTAATTTGGCACTTAATAGCAGAAGTGTTTATTTTTCCTCTGAGATGGAAATCTCCAAAGAACTTCAGAGCTTCTTTTCAGGGCAAGGTGGGGATAAAACCCAGAGTTTGCCCACGGTTTCTGTCTCTGCACCAGGAGGAGGGGGTACCTGCTGCAGGGTAAGGCAGCTTGTCCCTTGCGTGGGTGAGCAGGACCTGCATGGGTGAGCAGGACCTGGGACCTGTGAGCCAGGTGTCTCACAAAAACCCTTGTCCACCAGAGAAGCAGCCACAAAGCTGAGGACCTTCTTGATGTGGACTGCCAAGAGCCAGGACCCTCAAAATTGAGAGATCTTTGCTTCTGTAGCAGTTTGTTCAAACTGAAAGCCCCTGAAGACAGCAGTGGGGAGCTGAGAGCAAGTATTCACCTGTTTCTGCGACAGACTGAATCCCACTGAATCAGCTTTCCAAGGGAAGGGTATTCAGTCAGAAAACCTTTTTCCAGACCGTAAATCACATCTGCTGTTTGTTTATTTTAGAATACCTTTTTCATGCGGGCCCAGTATCTCAAAACCCCCTCTAACGCTAAGTTCTTACACCTGCCTATTTGAAAGGAAGACTTTGCTGCTGCTCTAAAAGGATAAATCACTTTTTGTTTTCTTGCCATGGAAAAATACCACTGTAAGAGCTTCAGGCTGTGACTGATGAGTGCTGAGTTTGTTTGTGAACACAGTCCTCTCAAGTATACAGATAAAATCTATGGGCCACAGGATTCAGGAGGTGTGTTTGTATGCTCTCAGAAGCAGACAGTTAATAACAACAGAGACTGGATCCCTGGTGCCAAGTGACAGGAACAGAGATGATAAATAGCCACTTTCTCTTCTTGTTTCTTTAGAAATTAGTTCTCAAGACTGTTATGATATTCCACGAACGTTTCCGAATGACAGATCTAATTCATTGGAGGGCTTCCATAACCACTTTGTAAGTATGACTTGATCTGATGAGAGGTGACAGCGACAGTGCTTGAATGTTCTTTGTTTCCATGTAAAAAAGCAGGCTGTATGGTGTTTGTGATTTTTCAGTTTCAGTAGACTATATTAATCTGAGTAGATTAGGTTAAAAAGCTCATATGATTCACAGCTGATTGCATAACTTATTTTGTTAAAGGAAATATATGTTAATTCTAGAAAAACAGAAGCATGTTGACAGTGGGAAGTGTTTCAAGTGAAGAACTAGATGAAAATTATGTCCCAATGAATCCCAACTCTCCTCCACGACAGCATTCCAGCAGCTTCACTGAACCCATCCAGGAAACAAACTATGTACCAATGACACCAGGCACGTTTGATTTTCCGTTATTTGGAAAGCAAGTCCCTCCTCCTGCTCACATGGGTTTCAGGTCCAGTCCAAAGACCCCTCCCAGACGGTCAGTACCTGTTGCAGAATGTGAGCCACCGCCAGTGGACCGGAACCTCAAACCAGACAGAAAAGGTGAGGAAAGTGTCCAATAGAAGTTGCTTTGTATCATCTAACAAAATAACAGCTCTACCAACCGCTGCTTAGTGGAAAATTAGAATATTTTTAGAAATTCTAAGAAAGTAATTTTTATCCTGTGAGATAGCCGTAACATAAAGGAATCCTAAGATTATTTTTAAGCATATTAAAACATCATAATAACTGCCAAATACAAGCATAGCTTTAAATTTTATTTCTATAGTTACTAATGAAAAACTGACACAGAATAGCTAACACTCAAAAGTCTGAGTTTTAGTCGTTATACACAAGACAGCTGGCTGACTTGTAATGGAGAGAGAGCACGGGAGGCATTGGATAGAACACAAAGTTACAGCCATAACAATGCTTGGTACAGGATCAATACACATTTCATTGTATGAAGTAAAAGCTAAAAATAACTATTTTAGGTATTTGCTTTTGATGTAAACATTGTTAGAAGAAATTAGTTGTTACAACAAGAATTTGTTGTATATGGTGCTGTGTTTTAGTCCTGCTGAAGGTCTTACAAATTCTTACAAATGTGTTCAAATGAAGGAGGAATTAGATTGAAGAAATAGTGTTTGCTACTAAGTAGGTAATGTTAAGCCTTCATTTCAGTCTGTAAAAGCACAGAAAATCACTTAACGTTGGAGCTGCTTAATGCTTGAGTGTTAGTGGCCCCATAGGGCAGTCATGGGAAGATGTTTGACGTGGGCTGTGAGGTTACCATATATATTTTCCTTGGGATCCAAATGGGAGGAGGGAACTGCTAATTCAAGACAGCTCTTAAGATGTTTTTGCACTATCACAGAAGCTGGGTGCCATGCTTATATTGAAATTTGTATGAATTGTAGTAGGTGAAAATTGCCTTGCCTTTGTAGAGAGTGGTAGATTAAACAAAGTCATAAAGCAAAAGGAAAACTAGCTTTATATGGAAATATTTTAAACTGCTGAATGTGTGGAAGATTACTTTTATGAGTTGAAGGAAGCTGCAACAGCTTCAGTGACAAAATTGGAAAAACCCCCATATTTTAGAGGGCTCCTCCAAAGCTATCCTAAAAAATCAGTCTCTTGAATCTGGTGCATACTGGGTTAACTTTTCCTTAAAATAAGAATAATGGTCACCCAAATAATCCTTAAACAAAGAAGATACTGGTGCGATGTGTGTAGAAGAGATTCTTGTATAGAGAATCACTAATAAATAGCTTAGACTGTCCAGTTACTCGAAAATGCTTGATCAGCCAGCTTATCAGAAATGCAGGTAAATGCTTGAGGAACTTATTTCCCTACTATGCAGGTTTTTTTCAGGTAAGATAAGTACCTTTCTTCTAGAAGTAGGAACTAAAGAACATTAGGTCAAATGTCTGCACTATTTTGTATTCGAGTAAGCTCTGTTTTTTAAATTATGTGCTTGAAAAATTAGTATTTACATTGAGAATGGCTGACTTAATTTGGGGCAGTAAATATTCAGATGATCTAAAATACTCACTAACTAAACATTTAAATTAGTATTTTTATCACTAAGTGAAAGCAGCCTGTGTTTAAATGAAGTATATGATATTATGAGATAGATGATCTCAGTGTGAAATACGAAGTACCACATCTCATTCTGGCTGTCCATCTTCAGAACACAAAGCGTGGCCTTTTTCAAGACCTTGGCTCTCTGCTTGTGTCTAATTGTTTCCCTGTTACCAGACAGTAGTTTTGTTTAGTTCTTAAAAAATGCTGGACAATAACAGCTTGATAAAGCCTGATACTGGAAAATATTCTCAAAATAAACATTGAACTGCTTTAAGATATTTTCCCTGACTGGCCAGTTTGTGTATTTTACTGCTAAAATGTATGAACTTCAAAAGTAGTAAATTTCTATGTTGAAAAGCTTCTTGCTTTTGCTGTTGGCGGTGCAAAGCAGTCACACAGATGTCTGCTGGGGCAGCATTGCTGCTCTTGCATCTCTCCTCTTGAAACTGAATTATTAGTTTGCCTTCTAAATGTGATGTGTAAAGCTCCTGCTTTGCTCCAGTCCTCAAAGGCTTTACAGCTAGAAAGACCTAGCTAACATCAGGCAACAGATTTTCAGATGTACTAAGGTACGTTTAATGAGTGCAGAGTGACTGGCTATATTTTTTGCATGTAGACTTTTAGAAGCTGTTATCACTGTAAAATAATACGATTACTGAATACAGTTTAGAAGGTAAAGTAATTCTGAAGTAAAGCTGTCCACAAAAGTAAATATTGTATAGTAAATGCTTAGAGGCTGAAAAAACCTTTGTGAAGATCTTGAGCTACCGAGAATGGGAATGATTCTGATTTATCACTGAGGGTTTTATCTTAGTAACACACACACAATGGCTCGCTCAAATTTTATCAAGTGTACTACTGCGAGTCTTCCATTGTTGCGAAGAGCAGGTACGATGACACATCAGGATGGAAATATATTCCCATTTCAGCAATTGAGTTCTCCATGCAAATACCTTTGAGAAAATAAAACTGCTGTTCCTTTTGAATTAAAATAAAATAAAACTCTTGTTTTAGTGGACCCTCACCTAACTGAAACAAGTGTGTGCTTTATATTCTACTGTGTTGCTTTACAGCTTTCAAGTTCTTGTAGCAACTTACTTTTATCGGGTTGTTGCTGCTTATATAAATGCACTACAATGGTTTTCTGCTACAAATTAGTGCATAGAAAGTAACAAGTTGGCTGCTATGTTCAGTAAAACTTAGCCAGACGTAGGAAGGGAGGAAATGGTACATAAATTAGATACCTTCTGGGTATTGCTCCTTTAATTATTTTTATTTTTATATGCCGTTGGTTCAAGAATTTTTATTGAAGGCCACTGCTGCTTCTCTAAAAGATAGTGTCACTGCAGAGATCAGGTGTGTTGGTGATAGGGCCTCCAGGTATTTCAGGGCCCATCTCATATTCTGTCTGAAGAAGCTGCTGTATCTTTTTTTATTGGTTACAGATTGCTGCAAAAATAGTGTTTGCACTGCCTCCAAGTAACAATTGCTTTTTGGTAGCTGTCCTTGTTACTGAGAAATATCACCATCACTTTTCCCGTGAGCATTAGCTCTAGCTTAGTAGTGTTTCTGCGTGGGCCAGGGGAGTTTATGTTTAGTGCTAAAAATGCATTTGACAAAGAAATAATGCAGTGACACTAGCACATAAGGAAAGAATGCACTGCTTTTTGTTGTGAAATGTGTACACTTGATATCCCCTCTATTTTTCTTTGGATTACGGGATTCCTGCTTACAGGCGGTATGGTTTGGCAAGGGTAGAAAATGGAGAGCTCGGTGATGGCAGTGGCCATTCTGTTGCGTATAGCCTGCTCTCCTCTCTGCTGTTTCTGTGTTGTAAACCTGAGGTGAAACACATAATCAGTTACTTCTGGTTCTGCTGTCTTTGGAGAATAATGTGTCAGGTAGCAAGGATCTGGCAATCTGTCTGTCAGGAGCAGTGACTCTAATGCGTATGTCTTCACGTCTCTGATATAAGCACCTGATGTTCTGGATTATTTATTAAATAGTTAAAATTCTCCAAAATTTTAAGATTAGGTACAATTATATAGAAGTAGCAACTGTGACAGAGGACTGAGGTGTGAAAAATCAGTAACATGGGTCAACTAAATGTAGGTAATCAATAGGTCTAAAATTCACTAAAGTCTGTGCACACTCTTGCAAGGAGGGTACTTGCGCACCCCTGCTGTGAGAGCCTGAGGTTCTTTGGTCTTACCACCTGTGGGAATAGCCTGGGCCAGGAGCCATGACAAGCTATGAGATACCCTGTGTCTTTTTCCATTGGTTTCTAGAAGAGCTTTGCTGTGGAAAATGAGTTAAAAAAATATTAACAAACTTTAAAAAAAATACATATACCCTTGAGATTACACTACATTTTCATGTAGTTTCATTTTTCTAGCTCACAGCTGCTTCTGTAAATGCGGGGAGCTTCCAGTACTTTCTGGAAGTCTTGAAAGTAATTTCAAAACATGGTGTTGGCTTCCTGCCCCAATAACTTGAATCTAAGCGCTTTACTATTTCTTTAGAGAAGCATACCAAAAGGTAAGTGATATATTGCTTGGGACAAAATCGAGAGCATTTGGCCAGGTGCTTTTCTGCATTCACCTATAACTAAATAACAAAAATAATCTCTTTTTAAATTTGTTTTTTTCAGGGTGCTGTTTCTTTTATTATAAAGAACCGTTGTCTGTATTGATTTTGCATTTCTGCTTTTTGGCTGCTTTAGCTTGCCATGGTTGCATGTAGTCGTGATGCTAAATTGGAAGCATTGTTGCTAGCAAAAGGCTTCAAGCAGAAGAAGTATTGCATCCATCCATGCGATTGGGTCTTATTCTCTGAATCATTCAAAGACTGTGACTGGTTCAGCCACAGAGCAATTATATGACATTTGCTTTGACAGTCACCTGTTCCTTCCTGAAAATACTACTTATCCAAGACAGAGCAGTAGAATTAAAGGTGCCCAAATGCAGCGAGGCGAAGGCTCCCTAGACAGCTAAGGCAGCAAAGAACAGCCAAGTTCTCTTCTGCTCCACCTCATATGTTCCCTGGGGCTCTTTAAAATATCTGGAAAGGGTTGTGATACGAGGCAGTGGATCCTGTGATCTCCGTCCTGCTGACAGCTTGCAGGGCTGTAGCAAACATTTTGCCACTCCACGGGGAACTGTTCTGTGCAGCAAGGCAGGTCCCCAGTGGCTGTGCTGGCAGTCCACAAGAAAGTCCAAAGGCCTGGCCGGAGGTCTGTGAGTCTAGACGATCTTAATCTTCAGTACAAACCTGACATAAGTCAGAGATCAAAGAAAGCGCGTGGTTGAAAATAAAAGGGGTAGGGTGTGAATTGTTTTTTATCGGTCAGGAGGCAGCATTTGAGTGATGCAGTGTTTGAGAGATGGGGGGTGTCTGTGAGCCTCTGGGCATGATAATGACTCCCTCCTGCCCTATGATTTATTTCCAGAGGGTCAGAGCAGTGGGGTTTGTGATCT